AAGTAAAATTATTATTTTATATTATTTGAATTTTTATACAATATGTAAATTATATGGAATATATTATATTTATAATGATTTGAATTTAGTTTATTTTTTCATAAATATTATTCATAAATATTAATCACATATTTATACCATGAACATTTGTAGTTTATTATATATAAATTGCTACGACAGAAATTATCTACAAAAAATTCTAATTTTAATTAATTTTAATTAAAGTATTCATACTTAATTTTTCATATTAATGTATATTTTTAAATGTAAAGTAACACAATGGATTTAATAAATATACAATATTTTAATATTTTTTATTCAGTTATTAATATATATAATTAAAATTAATATATTATTAAATATATAATTTTTATTTTAAAATCCAGAAGTTCAAATTTTAATTTCTAATATCAGCTTATACAAAAAGGATGCCAAGTAAGAATATAATTTATAATTTTTAAATTGAATGAAAACTAATTATATAATCAACCCTGTTAATATCAATTTTTATATCGGCGATGTATAATCATTATTTAAGTATATAAATTTATCATAATTTATTTGATTATTATATGCTAAAAATTAGATTCTTAAACTGAAAGTGAATTACAGATCATAAATTCTATCATAATCTTTCTCATGGTTATCATCAATTTCAACTAATTGTAACACATTATTTGATGAAAATTCTATTTTATTTATTTATAATGTTTTTATATATTAAGCTTAAAGGTGCATATTTTTATAAGTTACGTTAAAAATAATCTCGAGCAGAATTATTGTACTTTTGAGCATAAGTATGGAATAAATGTAAAATTCTAATTATAAATTATGTATAACTTGGATTTTATGTTATATAGCTTTTGGTATAATCAATTTATTGCAGTTGATTATTAATTTAGAAAAATTGTAAGCAAATATATATATAGATTATGTAAGTTATGAATTTTTAATTATTAAAGGTTCGAACACACAAATAATTCCTGAAAATAATTATTAGTTTATAATTACTAAACTAATTATAAGTTTCTTAGATAAGACATCGATAAATACAGGTTCAAATATATTTGCTTAATTTTATGAAATCACTAGCATAAACTCATTTTCATTACTTCTAATCATCTCAATGAAATGTGATTCCATTAAAAAGCGTCCGATTCATGATAATGTATGACAATAACACTACGCAACTTCAAGGTATCGTAGTCATAAATGAATGATTTTCACTTATAATTAAGATCATTTATTAATGATCAGTAATATCCTTTTTTTAATTTATGTGCTACCTTCGGTTCTTATTAATCAATAAATTTTTAAGCATTCATTAAAAAGTGAAATGGTTATTGGTTATAAAAAAGTAGTCTGTTTTTACTGATAAATTAAAAGATATGATGTATTTATTGACAAGATAATATTATCACGTATAATATATGTTATTTTTTAATTAATCAATAATCATCCATGCTCTCATATATTAAATAATAAAATAGTTTTGGCATATGGCACAAAGAATATATTTTTTTAAATTAATAAACTATTTTATAAAATTTTATATCTAATATTATTTAATATTATTTAAGTAAAACATAGTATATATAAAAAATATTTTAATGTAAAATTATATATCTCTATATATTTATGCTTGTGTTTCTCTCTCTCTCTCTCTCTCTCTCTCTCTCTCTCTATCTATCTCTCTCTCACTCTCACTCTCTGTAGGTGTGTGTACGTATAGTATGTAATTTAATAAGAAATAAAAAAGAGATTGTAAAAAATGCTAATGTTTATAAAAACTAACTATATTTAAGTTTTAATTATTATAAGATTAACTATATTTTTGTAGAGGATTTTTTAAATGGTATAGTTTTTTGAATTGTAATAAAATGAAAGAGTGGAATAGTATATTTTAAGAATTATTTTTTCATTTCAAATTTCTTTAGTAATTTATCTTGTTAGAGACATATTTTAATTCATATAGAATATGTCAATATTTTAAATCATATTAAATTACTATATTACTAAATAGTACTTGGAATAAGCAGTATAATATTCCCTCAAAAAAATTCTTTTGATTAAATTAAATTACATATCAGTTTCTTTAGCCAAAGGTTGGAATTTATAAATTATATAATTTATTTTTCATCATCTAAATGTTTATTAAACTTTAGTTTTTTACAAATTAATATGCCGTATTAAACTATAAGCATAGCAAGTAATAAATCCATTATAAGATATGTTTGGATGATAAAATTATTTTTAATGTTTATTTTATCCTGTAAAAGTATAGAATTATTTAATATATGAAATTAAAAATAACATCTTGATAATACAAGTATCTAAGGTAATCTGAGATATTAAAGACAAATACAATTTATTAAATATTGTTGTTCATTTAAACACTGACCGTAATGTTTATAAAATAATTGAACTAATAGTACATTTAAATCTGAATAACTGATTGTTCATACTTTATCAACAACTTATGATTTGAAAATTAAATTCTAGATATAAAAAAATTGAAGAAAAAATACAATTTTAAAATATAAGGAATAAAGTTATGGACTTTGAAAAATATGAAGTAATCTTTCTATACGTGCGTATAACATGTATATGTGGTCCAACTCCCCCTTTCTCCTTTCTATTTATTATTTTACAGTTTTCATAAAAATAACATAATTAAATAATTAAAAAAATATTCATTAAATAATTTCCTTTTGGAAAATCGCTTCAATTTATCGTAAAAATTAATATTTTGATAATTTAATTAAGTAAAAAGGATGAAAATAATAAGAAAAAATAAATAATAAAAAATAAATAATAAAAAATAAATAATAATAACTAATTAATAAAAACTGTAATAAAAGAGCGAAGCAAACATGGTATTAATTGTTAATGAATTATCATCAATCTAATTAATAAAAGATTATTATTTTCCGATTTTTCGAAAAGGTTTCAAAAAGGTTAAAAAATACTTGAATTGTCTCAATTATTCTACTTACGAGTATTGAATAAATTATTTTTATAGTTAAGGTATCATTTGGTGCAATGGATGTAACACTATGTGAATGAGATTTAATTCTAATGTATGTTCAAGTGCAGCAATTATAATCACCTTAGGTATTTCGAAGCCTTTATGAATGTATAAAACAACCACAAAATTTATTACGTATACTGATTGTATTAATCTCGTTATAATATTTTTATAGTTCAGTCATTTTATGAAACTGAAAATAGAAATACTAAAGTCATATTTATTGCAAATAAATAACTATTACGTATTAATTTAATTAATATTTTTTAGTTAAAAAAATTGTTATTATTAACTGGTGTTACGCATACATATACTATTAATTATAATTCGTAGTAATACAGTATAACATTTTAAATGTACGGTTTATTGACATATATGATTTCTCATATATATAAGAATTTCATTTAAATCATTACACCTATTATACAGGCATATCAATAATTAGAATTTTAAATATTGTAATATTTTATTAATTAAAGCAATCAATTTTTACTAATTTCAAAATAATATATATGAAATTATCTAAGAATAAAATAATGTTAATTTTTTAATGTTACGTTAAAATTTTTAAGTACATAATATCAATTCTTCGACCTGATGATGTAATGAGTAAGATTAAAATTTGCAACTTTATTATATAATTAAGTTTAAACAGTAAAACCTATTAAAAGAATAACTAATACTCGTGTTTAAATATTTTATTGTTCAAATAATTATATATGGGATTGTAATTCATAGTTTGAAAAATCTGAGGGAATCTAAAAGCATCGTTATTAATTTTATTACTTTTTATTATTTTGTTACTTTTTTATTTTTCAATGAAATTAGATTAATAATTACATAATGTTAGATGCAATTCGTTTGATGCAAATATTTTAATTTAATATTATTAAAATACATATTTAAATTTACATTTTAAAATAATATTATTTCACAATTATTTCATTTAATTTAACGAAATTATAGTAAAGTTACTGATGTTATATAAATTGAATTCTTTTTCATCATCGGTTTTTTGCATGTGTCTCCTTATAAATTAAAAGAACATTATATTTACTATTATAATTTATATCATTTATACAACAAAATTGAAATATACATATACACTTTTAACGCAATTTCTTTATTAAAGTGAAAATGTTATCATTAATGAAGTAATTTATATAAAATAACGTATTATGTTGTCTTACGATTAAAATACATTAAATTTTATATTTAAATAAACCAATGTAACTTTATAATAACAAGTTAGTGTATATCAAAATTTATTAATAAGATATATCATTTTTCATAGAAAGTTTTTTTGTACAATAAAATTTATACTAAAATTAAATCTTAACTATTTATAAACATTGAACTTATAACTATTACAAAGAATGCTATTTTTCTTTTGAACGAATATATATATATATATATATAAATGTTATCAAAATTTTATGAAACTTACCAATAAATTTGTTAAGCAATCTTTGCATTTATGTCTATTTACATATGCAGTTTTTTATGTCCATATATAAACAGTTTTTAATAAATGTATTTTAATAAATACATAAATTATATTAATAAATATAATCATTGAAATAAATTTCATATTAATATAGAATGGGATGCTAAGGTGGAATAAGACTGCATATATATGCAGAATAAAAAGTATGTAAATATAGTACTGTACTAAAATATTATGTAAAAGTTGTATTGGATGATATATATAATTGAAATAAGATTTTATCGTTATATTCATTTCAACTTTTTCAACAAATACAAATTAAATAATAACATTTATAATTGTACTTACAATCGTAAAATAATAACTATATTTCTGTTAATATAAGTAAATAATACTGACTATTTATCAGCATAGTTAATATGGTTATATTTGTTTAGCGATTAACGAGAAATGATGTAATTAAATTAAAATTGAGTAAAAAATATAATGAAATAAAATTAATTTAATATTTTTCATTATTTTCAGCGATGTGGCGCTTCTCATCAGAAACTCTTGTCTACAAAATGATTCGCATCTTTCTTTTTCTGTGCATGGCGATCTTATCCTTCGCCCGATGCAGCAAGGTAAAACCATAATATTAATAGATTCATTACTTTTATAGCAATTATAATAATTTCTAAGATAGTTTTATTTAAAAATAATTATTTGCTATATTCAATTAAATAATTAAAAAAATTAAGTTTTATATGTAAGTTAATAAAAAAATATTACAACTCATTAATTATAACAATCTTAAATATTGACTAACAAAATATTTTATTACCTTTAATACATTGAATATATTAAATAATTTAATTTTTATATAAAATATTTAATGTTATTGTTACTTCAAATGAAAATTAAATAAAAATGTACAAACAGAGTGTGTTTAAAAAAAGTAGTTACATTGTAGAACAAATAAAAGAATAACACAATAAAGAAATAAAAAAAATTGTTTTTCGATATAATTACAATAAATATTTTTAAATTTATATAAATTAATTCAAAAGACTTATAAAATATTTATGATGTATAAATATATATAAATTATTATTTTAAAAAGTATTACACTAACAATTATTATAAATAAACATTATTCTAACAGATAAGACGTATTTTGGAAATAGTAATAAATAAATTTATAATGAAATATATGGCAATGATTTTATTAAAATGTGATTTATGATTTAATTATAACTTTATTACAATTTAATTGAACAATATATAAAAGAATATATACTTTCGCATTCGTATTTAAAGTGAACTATTTATCTAAATTATATCTTTGAAAATATAATTAACATCAAGTATGGACTTTTACGAATATATTTTAAGTTACTTAATAATAATTGTGATTGAATAAAGTTAAAGTATATAATTGAATATAAGTAATTAAATTATTTATGCAAAAAAGTTTTATATAATTGTTTTTATTTAAAAATGACTTTATTTATTCCAAACAAAATCATATTATTCAGAATAATCATATTATTCCTGAATAATTAAATTATTAATTCAAAATAATCATATTGTTCGTGAATAATTAAATTATTGATTCAAAATTTCACTATGTACTATTACAATTTAGTTGATATTGAATCGTCTTACTGCACTATAAATTGTATGAATAATTTAATAAATCAAAATAAAAATAAAAATAGAAGATAATAAAAATTAAAAAAAACAAAGTTCAGAAAATTATTGCAAGCAGTTAATTTCAGAATTATAGTGATTATCTATGTAAAGTGTACATCAAATTTACTTACTATGAATAATACTTATTATGAAAATTTAATTTAAAAAATGTTGAGCAGAAAATTTAGTAGACCGCTTCTGTTCTAATTATAGTTATTTCCACGTTCTTACTTTCGTGCATTAATAGTACAATTCTTAATTGTAGAAATATAAAAATATATTAACATTTATGTTAAAAGAATCAAACAAATATAAAACATCTGGAAGAAAGTGCACTAATGCAATATTGCAGTTCTTACTTATTTTGTTAATTCTTAATTCAGTTTTTCTCTTAAACAGATTATAAAAATACAAAAAAATTAGATTATAGATTATAGACACATTTGACTATGTACAACTACATCTGTAATGAAGAAATAGATTTAATCTGCGTCTGTATTTTATTCTAGTTTTAAGTATATTTGTCTCAGCATTGTTTAATCAATATATTCAAATAAATTCATTATTAATAAATTCGATATTAAATTTTCGATTAGTAGATTAAACAATTTTTTATTTTCATAATCAATAATAATATCATTAAATATTATAAAATTAAATTTGAATATCATTATATGATGAAAATTTCTTTAATAAAACATATTTGACATAAAATGTTCTATTTAATGACAATATCGTTAAGAGCTGATTGTACTTAATTTATAATTTTTTCAAACAATTTTTTACTTACATTATAAAAAATAAAAAATTCTCAGTCTTTTAGTTCAAATTAAATTAACTTTTTAACATTGATTGATGGATTAAATAATGAAATCTTGGTTAATACTATAAAAATTATATGACGGTATTTAAAATTTATTAAAATGACATCCAAATTATGAGTTATCATTATAACATGAATGATTTAGATTTACTTGATATTTATCACAATTCTTTAAGTTACAATTTTTTAATTGTAAACAATATAAAAATATTTTTTTATTTTTTCATGATCTAATTTAATTACTTAGTGGAGATTTGTTCAATTACGTATTGATTAAAAAAATTCTAGTAATATTTATCCCATTCTTCCATAAAAAAATTTTTGAAAATTCTGAAAAAAATCATACTTTTAAATAATAGTATTAATTGGAAACTTTGGAAAATGAAAGTATTTACAAATAAAAATATAGTATTGCAAAATTTTTTTTGTAGTTAAACCATATTAAATAAAACGTGATTTGAAAATGTTTAAATATATTTAATTATAATTTAATATTTATTATATGTACTAAATAAATATAACAAATATTGTTTTGAGTTGTTTTCCATGGAAAAAATTATAAATATTTGGAATCTATGATTTCACTTTTTTAAAATTCATTTACTTTTCTTAAAAAATAATTTGTCATTATTGCAATATTTAATTAGTTCGATTGCTTATTAGCCAAATAAAATTTCATACAAGTGTATAAAATTTTCGTATTCTATAAAGAATTAAATTCTTAATTAAGATAAAAATTAAAAGCTTTTAGTATTAATAGGTAATGATTTTTATTAATTCATAAATGTTTAATCTGCAATAAATTGTTAATAGTAGTTTGTATATAGTTTGTATATAGTAGTTTATATATAGTTTGTAGAATAGTAGTTTGTACGATTGTTAAAAATAATTCTTTACAACACAATTGACATACATACAATGACATGTATATATATAATATATAAGATATAATATAATTCGTGCAAGTACATGTAAAAATATCTACGATCGCTTGTATTGACAATAATTGTAAAAATTCTTAAATTTTTCATTGCAAATAAGTATAATAAACATTTTTATATTTTGTTTTTTACATAAACATAAAATAATGTTGAACTATTTAGAACGAAATTTAATAAGATTATAATTTTTAATTTTTAAGTTTTTTAAGGCATTTTGTAGTTTTTCATTACAACAAAAACAAAATGCTTATATTATAAATTGATTAGAAATAATATCATAGATATTGATTCTAGTTTAGAAATAAATTTTGTAAATTAGCATGTTTAACAATTATTGTAATATTATAGCAGTATTCTTATTATACTTGAATTTATTTTAATATTTAAAATACTCATTTTTAATAGTTTCTTATATTAATATCGATTTAATTACCATTAAAATGTTTTTCATTTTGTTTTATTTTTTAATTCTAACTGCTTCGGTTAATATTAGCATACATTATAAATAATGTTATTCGCTAAGTTTATTAAGATAAAGAAATAATCTTTCGGCAGTAAGTTGACAAATACCAAAAATATTAGCAAGTCATTCATAACTATTGGAGATAATCGATTTTATTCACATCCAGTTTACAAAAAATATATACGATATATATTTTACGAATAATTTTTGTGTGTAAAAGAGAAATCGAAATTTAAAATACGACAGTAAATAAAAAAATTTTAAAAAGGCATATTATTATATATTGTTTATATATTCTTTGATAAATGTTTTATGAAAATAGATTAAATAAATTATTATTTTGAAAAGATATCTGTAATATTTTATACTCTTTATTCATGTAAATATTAATAAAACGTCAAAATAGAAATAACAAAATTTAAACATAAACACATTATAAAAAATTAACAAAATACTTTCTTATTTAGTAAAATTCTTAATAAATTTCGTTTTATGCTACTTTGAAATTTTAGTTCATTTTCGGTAGTATAAAATATGATTCAAATTATTACATGTATAAAAAATAACAATAATATTTAACAATAATATTAAATTTTTATATTAATAAATTATAAATATTTTTATACAGACATTTTTCATGTTAAAAAATCTAATGGTATTGTAATAGTAATTTAACATTATGCTATTATAGTTGAATCGGTACTTCTAAATAATTAAATATTTTTTTAATAAAAAAATATTATATACTTTTTTATATAAATTTTATATTTTTAATTATGTTTGTAAATTTTTATGAATGTTATAACAATAAAGCTAATCAATGAATTATAATATTGTTTTTTTCTTTATTTAGATTCACGAATACATGACAAGAGAGGAATTGCTAACAGTATTTCAAGCAGGACACGAAGCTGGTAAGCCAAATGACGATAGAATATAGTAATATTATTAAGAAAACTAAAAAATAAATAATAAATTTTTATTCACATTTGTTCATTTATGTAAGATTTACTAATAATTGGTTGGCGATAAGGTTATTTAAAGTTTATTGTTATTAAAAAGTTTATATTTCAAACAATAATAAAGTAATATAATAAAGACATAATATAAATAATAACTATATATATATTTTATACTGCAATTTATATGTAGATGTACAATATATATTAAAGGAAACTTTAATATTTAGATATATTACTCATAGCAATTTGTTAAAATATGCATTTTAATAAATTTTTCAATATCACTTACTTCACAATAATAATATCGTTATTGATAATATTTATTTAAATAATATAGAATGCTATAATAAAAATTTTCATTTATATATATATATATATAAAAATTGGTATGGAATGAAAAATATTTGATATTTCATACTTATGAAAAATAACTTTTAATCAATAGCTGTAAATGAAACATTAAAAGAAATTACAAATATATGAAAATAATTTAAAAAAATGAATTTGTTTTTCAAAGTATATAATTTTGCTATAGATATTTGTTGTTTATTTATTGTTTATTTATCTGTTATTTGTTATTTACAATCAACATTTTATGTATATAAGCATATATTTTTAAATTCTTCGTTAATAGTATCTACTAGTATCATATGTATTAACTTACTTATACAGACATTTCTAATGTTATTTATTAAATATGTATTAAAAATATTTTTAAACTAAAACTTAAAATTATTTATTATATTTTTTTAAGTATAGGGAATTGATTAGATGAAATTTAAAAGAGTATATATACAGTGCGAAGTTATGCAATGCAAAGGTAAATTTGTACAAGTAGTATGTTGAGATAATATGTGAAATTAGTAGTATACTTTAAATGTTAATAGGTAATAGACATAATGATTTTTTCTATTTGTAAAGTCATGTAATAAAAATTCAATAGTATATTAATATAAAAAAAAATTAAAATACATGTAGGTATTATTAAATATATTACAAATTAATTTAAAGATGTTTTAAAATGATAAAAATTAAATTTTTAAAAATAATTTTTAAATATTTACATTTACATTAAGAATATTTACATTAAGTTAATCAAATGAATGCTTTTTGTTCATATATAATATATGCATAATTTTATTAATAAATAAACAAATTAAATGTAAGTATTAGAAAAGATTTTTATGAAATAAATTTTTCTTAAAATGCCCAATATTGAAATAACTACATCGCTCCAGATGAAGTGTAGGATATATACTCTAGACAATAAAGAAAGGACTAGACAAAGAGATATAAAGGAAGAACGATAAAGAGAAAAAGTCGCGGCAGGGTCATCGACTACGTGACTCAGACGTCTCGTAATATATAATAGCAAGATGGAATCCTTTGGAAAGCAGGCACCTAACACTAGTCAACGTTTTATGAACACACATTTTTCTTATGCGTATGGAGACCACAGCGTTAAATCTTTATTTATCGCTTTGAATCATCGACATGAATATTTCAAAGAAAAAAATCGTGCGCACGTGCCTGCGCTCTCCTCTAGCGATAAGATCAAGACTACGAGTCACCTCCTTCTTTCCAATTATTTTCACACTGTTTTTTTTATTAAAAATATTGATATCAATAGTAATTTTTAATATAAATCTTCATTTAACTTTAAAGTCATGCATGACTCTTTTATAATTGTCTTTATCTTTTGTTATTTTTTAAAGTTAAACGAGGGTTTTTAATAAATTTAATATTTTTAAATTGGGTAAATTAGTTGTTTCTGACATTATTTATATATAAAGCTATATATAAGAATGCTATAGTTTCCAGTCAAGCTACAAATGATTGAAAACAGTAAAAGAATTTTTTAGATGTTTTAAAATTTTTCTTTTAATATGCTAACATAGATAACATATACTTCGCCTATTATAATATATTTCATACTATGTATGATTTATTGGATCTGATTAACCTATACGATTCCGATTTTTTGATAAGAAACTGAAATTATTTGTGGTCAAGAATGTCTTATTAGCATTTTATCATTTTATTTCGCATCGTTAAATTTTAAGTACGCCTATAGCTTTTTGATTTTAAAAGCTATTAAACTTTGGGAGAAACGATAAATGAAAACCATTTTATTATATTAATACATTAAAATCAAGAATATATTTTTATGATCGTCAGGATATCGACTTAATATATTATTTAATATTTTACTTAAAATATAATTCGAAAGAAAGATAAATTGATTAAGTAGAATTAATATAATCAATTCAATTTCGAATAATGTACATATATGAAATTTTATAAATAAAATTATATTAGATAATTATCAAATATATGAAGTATGAAAGTCTTACTAAAATCATTTAATATGATAATTGGAAGTTATTATATCATTTATATATATCTATATATCTTGAAAATTGCCTAAAAAAGCGTAATTAGTGTAGTGTAGATCATACTGAAATATTAAAACCAATTAAAAAACTTTTCTATTTTATACAATTAAAGAAAATAACGTTCAAATATATGCTAATAATTACTTATTTACAAATTTTGGTAATTTAAAAAATAATTCAATGGTATACAAAGTAATTATTTGGTAATTTATTGTAGTTCCAGTTTATGAAGTAGTACCAGTTCTACATTCATTACACAAGAGAAGCCCGGAAACATGGCAAGAGCTACATCTGAAGGCCTTTGGAAAAAGCTACAAGCTATCCTTAAAACCAAATAATGGACTTTGGTTAAGAGGGCAGTTACCAATGTGGTCAGTCGAAAGAAATGACTCCAATCATGATGGTTTGCATTATGAACGGATCCCGGAAGTATGTTTGCTTGTTTTTTTCATTGCTTACTTTAATATTATTGAATTATATAGTATTCTGAAAAGTTCTGTAAAATTTCCAATGATATTAGAAAAATGTTAAAAATACTTATGTTTAATTTTCATCTTTTAATTATATAACTTCAATTTAATATTGTAATAATACTATTATAAAATTGGTTAATAAAAGAAAAAAAATATTCGAATAGACGGTTTTAATAATTAATGTAGTATAGTAGCTAATTCATAATAGTAAAGTAGTTAAATATTTTGCCTGAATATTATTTTTATTAACAGTATACACTTATTTTTACAAATTTAATAACAAATATTAATTTCCACTTCAATTATTAGCTGTAAAATATTCATTTTTAATATTCATAAATCTAATATTCCAGTTTTTTAATTATTTAATATTCTTATTTCGATTTAATGTAATTGTAAATATTTATTGCATCGGTATATATTAATTAACATATTCTTAAAAATCATTAATTATTGTAATATTACAATTTAAAAAAAAAATAATTACATAAAAATGTAAGATAATATTTTTTTCAAGACAATATTTTTGTAGTATTATAAAACAGTTTAAATTTTAAGCATACCATACTTATATAAAATAGAATGAACAAACATAGAATATCAATATTATAATATATAATTTGAATACTATCAATTTATATCATTTATTTATGATTTGTATTGGCAATAACAATTTGTTAATAACATTAAATTTTATATACTTTTAGAAAAATAAAATATATTTAAAATAATAAACGATAGTTTTTTAAGTATCTACTAATTTTCTTAAATATATAAATTTGCTTTTTATAAGTTAAATTATAAATATTTTTTAAATACATGTTTATAATTGTTATTAATGAATATTTTGAACATTTTAATGCAGTAAGTTTTTATTACACAAATAAAAAATTTGAAGGAAATTTTTAATTTATGTATTTATTTGTTTATAAATTCTTGTATAATATGTAATTTATAAAGTTTGTAATTATGTTGAATTTTGTTTAATATGATAATCAGTATGTATTAAATTAACTAAAAATAATTTCATTATATAAATTAAATTATAGCAAGATACATTCTTATAAAATTTATTAGTAATTTTATTTATTTTTGTAAAACTATAGCTGTAAAAAGATAAAATGTATTTAGAAAACTTGTTGCTGTTTTTTTTTAAATAGAAAACTTTTCATTTTTTAGCTCCTACTTCTTAGTTTTTCTGCTTTAAAAAAACTAAAAATTTAGGAAGGTCTTTTTTAGGAATTTAGGAAACTATTTTTTTTTTATGAATGTCAAATCATCGTTACATATATTTATTTATTTATTATTGTACAAAATATGTTTGTTATTGGCTTAAAGATATTGGCTAATAATAAGTGTATGTTGGTGATGAGTATGATTAATTATACTTTCTCAATTACATATAGTAGGAAAGACTGAAATATTAGATTTCTGATTAGCAATCGAATCGATCCAAGTAGAAAAAAAAAGAGAAATATGGATGAATATGAGGCGTGAGTGGATCGAAAAATGAGTGCTTACTGATCCTTATTTGTTCGATAGGAAGGTATCAATGTCGGCGATGTGTACCAGGATACGCAGAATATGGCTTCCATTCTGCTGCATCGAGACGCCAGTGGTAAAGTCCTTGTGGTAAGTGGGTAAGGCGCACTTGTGCTTTTCTGTCTTAACATAATGCTTTTTCATAAGAATTTTATGATTATCGGTTGATACGAAGTACACATTGGCCTAGTATACTGTTTGCGGATGTTATAATAATTCTCCACTGAACAATTAGTTGAACACAAAAATATCACAGTAAAAAGGAGAAGAATGAGAACAGAGTTAGAAAGAAATGGTGATCAATTCAGAAGTTTTGAAGTTTCTTCATCATATAGTTGCCGATGGATTTTTAAATGTGTCAATATTCCATAAGAATACTGTGCTCGTTTTCCATTATTTATTCAATTGGAACGTTGTATACTTTTCTCTCCTTTTCTTTGAGTTAAGAAATTCATACTTGCCTGACAGATTTCCGCTCTCAAATTTATTTGTCAATTTTATAATATATAAATAAATCATTTTCATATCATTATATTTTATGATTGTCAATATTTAAAAATAATACAATTTATATACTCACCTTGTGGACTATCTAAGACAAATATATTCATACATGTTTCTCAAAAGACTAAACATTATTTTTTTTATAAAAAGTGACTATAGTATATGATTAAAAACATATTATTTAATAATTTCTTTTAAATGGTATTAAATTTTTGTTATAGTAAATTTTTAGTGATAGTTTTTATTAAAATAATTATTTTATGATAGAATATTAAATTAGATGTTCTACAGTAATATAATCCAATAATTTTAATATGTACGTATTTATTGTAGCTAATAAAAGCATTATAATGAAAGTATTGATCATACGGATTTTTTTTTTAATATAGTACTTGTCAAAAATAACAACAATCAACAGAAAGAAATGAAGTATATATCGTTTTTCTGACGTAATTCAGCTTTTTTTATGTTAATTTTCGTAATTATTTACGAATCCTAATTTCTTTATTCTTTGTTGCTCCCAATAAAGATATAATGGGTTTGGGAAATTCTAGGTGTAATATTTTCACAAATCATGGATTAGTATTTATAGTATTATTGCTTTTTTTAAATTTCATAGATAGATCATTATGATAAAAATGATTTGTGATTATTACTCATGAATATATTTACGAAACCTCTATTATGTAGAAAAAATGTTGATACGTAAACATATTAATTTGAAATATGCACAAATCTTAAACATATTTTATGATCGAAAGAATAAAATAAATATAAGTAGCATTAATTGAAATATATGTGTGGGTAATATGTATGATTATATAATTTGTGTATGTTATTTCAATATAAAAATTAAATGAATAATTTACTCAATTCTATAGTAGAAAGATTTTAAATTCATTAAAAGTCATATCAATTTCATTAATATTAATAACAATAATATTAAGAATTGATATAAATACCATATATTTTTTACTATGCATTAATAGAAATAATACAGCCTATAATTGTTTAGTTTATTTCTATATTGATGAAATTATTTTAATTTACGTATCCCATATAATATATACTTATTTAAATATAGTTATTTAATATAAATTAAGCATAAATAAAAGTTTCCTAATAATTTATTCAACGAATAATATAAAATGTACATATGTTGATTATTCCAAAAAATATATCTATTCTTCAAGTGTCATTTATAGATTTTTACATATTTTTATCAAAACATAATATAATAATAATATTTAGATTTATTTTGGTTTTATTTCATTTGTTTGGTTATACATTATAAATAAATGTTATATTTCCATTTGTTAAAATTAAGATTAGACATTACGATAAGATAAATTGGTTTTTTAAATAATTATAGAAGTGTATAAATGATTACTGAACCTTTTAAAAATTTATAAATAATATTTAAATAAAATATTAGATAAATTTGCTAATATTATTATTTATTAATATTAATTCTCTATTATTAGTACTGATATATATATATATCATTTATGGACCTATTTCGATTTCAATTAATGCATTTTTCTCTTGTTTTTCAAAGTACAATGAAATTTATACCTTTTTTTATATTTTCTTTATTAGTAATTAACTTCATTATTAGTTTCTTGCTGTTTATTGCGTTTCATTTTACAAACTACGCTATAATGATTCAAAGTTGATGATGAGAATCGTTGAGATCTTGCAATTCCGTGGTAGTTGCCACGTGGGGTTAGCATGTACTACATGTAGAGGTAGAAGCTCGTAAATCTCTGGATCCTCTTGACGTAGTGCGCTTGGTGGTGGATGTTTACACGGAGCAGTATGGGGTCGTAAATCTCTGGACACTTTTTCTTGTAGTGCCACGTGGTGGTCACTTGCTTGTGGTCTCCTCCTTAAAAAAATGCACGTTGACACTGGATCCTTGAAATAGTATTCGGTAGTATTGAATTGTTGTGAAACTCTGGTGAGGGATAGGTGGCTATGGCACCTAGTATGAGAAAGTGCGCGTTGGCACTGAATCCTCGATAGAGTGCGTGGTGACACTGAATCCTTGAGAAACTCTACCCGAGAAAGGTGGCTACGGCACCTCGAGCTGTTATGCAGTGGCACTAAGTGACTTGACTGCCGACTTTGCGGAGGGAATTTCCTTCTTCCTTGACAGCTCCAGTGATGAGTGCATGTTCGTTCTCCGCGGCGTTCCCCGTAAGAGAGCACCTCTTTCTTGTGGTCGTCTCCCTTAAGAGCCTTCCTCTGACAACGGCGTCACCACTTAGGGGCGCCAGTCCTTGGTGTCTCCTATCAGAGCGCGCCTTTCCTTGTCGTCTCTACTTGGAGTGCCTCTACCTTCGGCTTCTTCAATTAGAGAGAGTAGTCTATCTCTTGGCGTCCCCGCTAAGAGGGAGCCCTGATTGAAGCGTCTTTGCTTTAACTATGCAAACAACAGTATGGCTAGATTTGACAACAGTGTATGCGATTGTGTACCATTAGATTTTAACTTTAAGATGTAACGACTATTTCCAAACATCTAAGCACCTGAGTTTTCCAGAAGTGTAACGACTTGCGTTTTCCAGGTGTGTAGTGATTTGGATTTAGCAGATATCTAATGACTTGGGTTTGCCAGATGTTGAATGTCTTGGGAAGGGTTCTCGCAATTTTGAACATAACCAAACATGCTAAAGTATATATTTCTTTTAGTTTTTTATTTAGTCAAGCAGTTTATACATAGATTATGCATATATATATATATATAGAGAGAGAGAGAGAGAGAGAGAGAGAGAGAGAGAGAGAAAGAGTCAGACAGCAAGCAAATAGACAAGTTGATTCTTTAAGTTTTGCAGTGTATAGATGATAATTACTTAATTAACTATTCTTGTGAAATATTTAGTTTTACACAAATTGTTCATTTAGATTTGAATGATACATTCTGTCTATTTACTTGCTTGATTTTAAAATAAATTTTTCAAATTTTATCATATCTATTTTGAAAATTATCATTATTGAAGTTACAAAAAAAATACTAAATTTATTTATAACAAATTTGCTGTAGTACTTAATTTAATAATTCATTAAAAATGATATAGCGACTTTTAATATAAAATTGAACCTTAATAAAAATATTTTATGTAGGACGGAAATATTGGAGCAGATTTGGTGATTCGTCCACTTCCCGAGCGAGTGATAAAGGAAGTTGTAAGTAAGGCTTATTATCTGCACGAGCCACATTTATTACCAAACATAACAAGGGCTAAACGCAGTCTCGCGCATACAAATCATCATATTGTATACAAAAAGAAAATATGGGCGATGGATGCCGAGTATAGTGATTTTGGTAAGAAAAGATTTTTTCTAGTATTTTCCTTTTTTATTAAATATTGTTATAGTATTGTCTAAACATAGCTTAATAGAAATTTTCTTTGATATAATTCAAAATCAATCCAATAAATAAAAAAACGTAAGGTATGTATGATTATTTATTTGTAAGAGTATTTTATTTTTTAACTAATTTAATGAAATTTATTTAGTCTTGGAATATATTGTATTTGATTTTTTGAAGATTTTGTAAATAATATGCTTTCCAGATATTTTAAAGAGTTTATTAATAAGTATTAATATAAATATAATTATGACTATTTAAAAATTTATATAACCAATAATAAAGATTAAACTGTAGACATATATGTAGTAAGGCTCTTTAGGTGTAGGGTAATTAATTACAAATTTAGTATTTATACGGCTATTGCAAAATAAATACCAATTACTTTATAATTATGGTAATGATTTTTAATTCTAGGAATAATTTTATAGTTTAATTTGATACAAATAAATGATTCATTATTTTATATTTAAGAAAGAAAAATTTAATTTTTCTATTTAATAATCATACTTTTTATTATCATTACAGTATTATAGTCAATTTTATTATGGTATAGGATAGTACCTAAAAGATATTAATATGAATACATATAATTGAACTTGTAAAAATTTCAAAGAGACTTAATTGACTAAAAATATAATTGAATAAAAAATAAAATCCTTTAAAGATATACTAATGTAATTAAATAATTATATTTAATAAAACATAATATAATAATTAAATATGATAATTTAGAGGAAAAGTTTTATAGTACATAAAATATTTATAAATACTGCAAAGAAATCAACTGAAATTTATTGATAGGACCCAAATTTGTTATGTATTTCGAAATATCTAATTCTCAGAAATAATTTTTTGTCAAATTAGTATCTAAAATAATATTTCATTTTACATCTAGCACAAAATTGAATATTAATAGTTTTTTCATAAATTTTGTTAGCGTTTATGGAACCAGATCGTCTATCTACACGATTCCGATCAAAGAGATCAACTGGTAACAATAGGTCGAAGCGAGAAGCACCATATGTAATTTATCCTGAAATTCTATGCATAGTAGATTATGATGGATACAGGTAAACGTAACATAAAATTTCAAATATTACTTTTACTTGTACTACTTTTAATGTTGTTAGTATACTATTTAAAATGTCAATTCATGATTTCTTTGTATTTTTAGTATAGATTGTATAATTTAAATATTTATCAGTATAAGAAAATCTCATTGAGTATTCCCAGTTTACTATATTCAAATAGGGATTTAAATTTAAAGAGTGCAAGTTTATTATCATTATAAAATACAAAAATTGTTTTCGTATTTCCAATATGTCAATTAATCATTTTTGTTATTAGATTATAATAAATAAATGGAGATTTCTTTTAAAATATTTCTTTTATTTTTATTTAGTATAAATATAACAGTAATATATACGATACATTAAATATAACATAGACAGTTTAATAAATTAAGTTATTTAATTGGGAATTGATTAGAAATAGATATCTATGTCATAATAGTTTTTTTTTTTTTTAATGAAATATCGAATTTTTATATCAATATTTAGTAAAAATGCATCTTAAATAATGCTGTTTCATATAATTAAATGAATAAAAATAGATTCGTTTATCTTAGAATATTCTTTTAATTAACATATGTTTATCACGAAGAAGATTTGCTTAAAATTATTTTATTAATTTAATTGATTATTAAGCATGTAAGAATTAGGAGTAATTTTATTCTTCATTCATTACTTGTACTTGTTAAACACGGTTAATGAAATAAGTTTATTGAAGTTTAATAATACTTATTACTTTGGAACTGTAAATAGATTGGAAAAGTCTCCATTCTACAAATTTTGTTATTAAATCATTAATAGTACTCCAATAAGGTAGATGTTATCATATTTCCTTTAAACGAAATAAAGCGACAGGATTTTATCTTTAATTTTTAGATTTTTTTTCTATTTCTTTAGATTACATGGCGGTGATAATGTGCAGATAAAACGATACTTTGTGTCTTTTTGGAATGGAGTAGATCTTAGGTACAAGTTACTAAAAGGCCCTAAAATACGTATTAGTATTGCAGGAATTATTATCTCACGAGTGAGTAAAGAGTGAACTTTATTAAGAATAAATATTAAGAAGAATATAGATATTAAATTTTCATAATATATATTTATGGATTTTTGAGCATTATAATCTTTGAAAATTAATTTATTCGGACGGTTCTATATTCGTATTTTAATACCTATTCTTTATTTATAAAATCATAATATGCAAATTAATTATATTATTCTAGATTTAACTATAGGTTAAACTTTTGACTAAATATTAATTAGATTAAGAATATATTTATCATAATAAAGTTTTTTTTATTGAACATCGAGTAATAACCATAATCTACATATATAATTTTTTCATAGTTTTCTTTATAATAGTTTAAAACACTATCATATATATATATATATATTCATTTTTTAAATTATAATTATAAAAAGAAAAATGTTTATATTATATTATTAATACGAGAATAGTTAAACATTTGTTTATTTACAAAAAAAAAAAAATAAAAAACAAAAAAGGTATTAATAAATACATAGATTTGATAAAAAAATATTATTATATATGTTATCTAATATTTTCTATATAGAATTTTTATAAATATAAAATATAAATATAACATATACATTTATTTATGTGAATTCACGCATATCTAATGAGAAATTGTGTTAAAATGAAAGTGCAAAAATTCATCGTTTTTGTAATGGCTTATTGCAGGGAAGAGATGCCACGCCGTATTTAGAAAGAAATCGCGTGGGACGAGATGCGATCGATTCGGCAGCTGCTCTGACCGACATGGGCAAATACCTATTTCGAGAAAGAAGACTTCCTGTTTACGACATCGCTGTTGCCGTCACAAAGTAAGCGTGTCTTATTTCTCCGTGATAGATACATTATTTTTATTGAAAAAATTAATATTTCTGCACACTTTTTTTAATTAAGTCACTAAAATTCGGTATATTTGTTTATTATTCTATTATTTTGTACAAAAATTGAAAATTACAATGAATACTTCATTAGTTTAATTGCAATTAATGATAAATTAATTCTCTAATAGTCTTTTAGATTTTAATTGTTGTTTAAACTTGTAAGAATATTTAGTAACGTATTTTAAAACATAAATTTTTAAATTAAAAAAATAGGTAAAATTGAAGGACCGTTAGAGATATTTATTAAAATAATGGTATACTGCACAAGAGCTTTTTATTCTCACTTCAATTTCAATCATTGCCATCGGAAATAAATAATATAGTATAAATGTATTTAAAATATCATAAGCATTGTTAACAATACAGTTATGCAGGTACTTTATATATAGCCCTTCTTTTGAAGCATTTTGATGACTTCATACTGTCCATGTTTTTATTTCGTAAAACAGGTATGATATGTGCCGTCGTAGGAAAGGCGGCCGCTGCACTAAGGGAACTGCCGGTATGGTTTATTATATAGCGATCATGCTTTCCAATTATTATATTTATTGTTTTTATTCTTAATTATTCGCATTATTTAATTGTATTAATATATATATGTATGTATCATTAAGTTTGTGAGCGATTATTTAGTTTGAACGACAGACATTGATTTTGTATATAGTAATCCTATAATTCGGTTTTTTGTATATACATATATGTATATATAAAGTAATGTATTATTTAGTTATAAAATTGGGATAATGTATATACAATCGAGCGATTTTCATTTACATTTATAAGAAGCTTTATAGGGCATGGGCAATGAATTTCTTGATTTTGTCTTTAATTTTTAATAGTATTATATACATATATCTATATATATATATATATATATATATATATATATATATATATATATAAAATGTGGATGAACGAAAAAATAAAATTACGTAGAAATAATGAAAATCGCTTTTCATGGAGTAGATTTTATGGAGTTAAGTCACGTATTGTGAAAGTTCCTCGCATACATCCATTAAGTACTACGTACGTTCTAAATACTTGTAAAACTTCAGAGAATAAAAAGTCTTATTTGTTTGTAATTCCAAATGAATACAATTTTATTGAATTCAACGATTGTAATTTTAAATACTTATGTATAAATATAGAAGTTGTATATATTAATTTTTCAATTATTATTTCTAATTATTATACTTATATAATACTTTATCTTTTGAATCTAACAGTACAAAATATGTATACATGTATGACTTTTCAAATTAATTAATATAAAATAATTATGTATACAAATTCTAATTAATAAAACACATATTACTATTATAATATAGATTTAATATATCGTGTATTATCAAAAAACATACACTTTGTGTAGTATCTAAACATCCTTAATTGAATTCATAAGATTAAACTCCTAATAAAATTAAAAAATAAGTAATTAAATTATATATTTTTAATACTGATGGATCTAAAATATGAATAAAGGTGAACTTTCACAAAGCGTCATACTATTTTTGAAGAAGCATGTACAGTGTCTAGAAGGCTACAGGTCGCGGGTTGTAGATTAATGAAAATATCAATGTAAGAAACATGCAGCACGTAATGGTTTAACACATTCTAACTTTCTTCTATTCAATCCCATTTAAAATTAATTTTAAAGGTATTTAAACACATTCAAGTGTCTCAGTGCTCTTTACCGTTTACCTTTTAGAATACTTGTTCGTTTTTAAAGTTTCATATTTATTTTATATAAATTTCATTTATTCTGTAACATCTTCGCGTGTACATTTCATTAAATTCATTATTCAATATAAATAACAAAACTAAGTTTTGAATTATCAGATAAACAAAATTTTGAGAAATTTCTTTTTATTGAAAATAACCCTTTTATTCTCATCATTGCTTTTAAGAAGTATGTTAATAGCACATGCATCATTTTAACTATTTTTACATCATAATTTAGTGATTTAGTTTGTAATTCAAATTAATTCCAGCTATTAACAGCCGCCTAACTTGTCTCACAAAAACTTAAGAGAAACACGAAGGATCATAAACTACGAGGACTCGTGATGAAATGATGTCCTTTCTTCTACTTCTTTTACAATTATTAATTTTCTTTACAATAATTTCTGAACTATGATTAATAATATGATTATTTAAAACATAGCTTTATATTTTTTTGGAGAAAGGTTTTTCCTTTTTTCCATCGTTCCTAGTTTGATGTTCACGTAGCAGATATGTTGTCATGTATCACGAAGACTGTATACGTTCAACATTATGTCGTTACGTGCACCTTTACTCAAATGTCCCGTGAGACTCGCATGTCAATAACCTTGAGAGATGCAAAATAAGTAACGATGATAAAAGAGGTTTTTTTGTTGTTGCGTTACAGATTAGATATGTGCAGGAGGCAATATGCGAATGACGTGTGCAATAGAGGAACCGCAGGTATGTTTGTTATGAGAAAAGCACAAAAAGTGAAAATATTTAATAAAAAATATCATAATTCAGCTCGTTAAATTTATGTGATGAGGCACTTTATTCTTTATTTTTCTTTTTTGTATGTTACTTCATTATTTTTTACTTGATTTATATTTACGCGTTTTTAACGCTTTTTTCTATTATATAGTTTATTCAGTTATTTCTTTTCTTATATTTAATTTTATAATGCTCTTATCAACAATCTCGATTCTAAGCTTTCACTCTTTTCCCTTTTATTCTATTAATCGTATATCTACGATTTTGCGTTTGGTTTTTACTCAATCTTATGTGTCTCTTGTTTACATTTTGCACACAATTTCTTTACCTTTTTACTTCTTATTATTATTTATATTATTTTTTATAATATAATTTAAAACAAAATTAAATTATTTTAAAATTATACTAGTTTATAATATTTAAAAACATGCATTATTGTTAAAATATATATGAGCCTTTGAAAAAATATTTGTTAAATGTAAGTATATGACTGAATAACTAGAGTTCGCAAGTTTCATCTTTATTATTTACTTATTTATTAGCGTTAACTGATATGATGTATTTTGTAATTAATTCTTCCGTTAATATAGGTTGAAAGTAACGTAATGATATTTACGTAAATAATTACAAGACATTGCGGTTTCATTAAATACGTGACATGAGATTTTTATTTATGACAAAGATCCTCTCGTATTCCTACTATAAAATAAATATCTGTTTTCTTTCTTGTAATATTCTTTTAAGATTTTTTTGCTTTTTGGCTGCCTTACTCACGTGGAATGTGATCGGTAAGTTTTTAACTAAAACAAAGAAATCACTGGTGAAATTATTTGTACAATTAATGCTAAATTAAATTACTAGTTATTCTGATTTAATATAAGTCAAATCGTTAATAGAAATATTTAACAAATATACAATATGAGATCGTAAAATTTGATTATATAATAATTAGTCACGAAGTTTTACAATTAATTTTTAACTTTTGATGTAAGTGTAGTATACAAAAAGTATAAATGCTTAGTATTAGAATAAATAGATAGAACAAGCTCGGCCTATTGAATTAAAATATGACTTTGTCAATAAACGTATCTTCATGATAAAATTATCACCAGATGCATGCCGATTACATGGAAAGCCCAGGACCCATCTAATATTTATTATTATGTGCTGCAAAATAATATTTAAACGTACTAATTTTATACAAGCAAAAGCTTATAGTAATTTTATTTTCGATATTATTATCATTAATAAAAATATAATATATTAACTATTCTAACATTTAATTAACAAAAAGTGTCTTTATTCTAAGAAAATATATCGTTTAAAAATATATAATTATTTTCATATACTTGAATATTTTAAAAAAACTTAAATACAATTTATTCTGAAAAAATATATTATTTCTTCATATGCAAAAAATAATGACACTTTTATATATAGCTATAATCTTATTCTTGTATTAATTTAAATAAAACTGCGTGATAATGATAATCTTTAATGCTGAATATAGTAAACGAAGTAATTAGCTTCTTTAACTCTATACTACAATACTTATTGCAATACACAAAATGTTTTGCGAGAATCGGCTGATAAATATTCTTTACATAGGTTTTGCGTACGTGGGTGGAGCTTGTGTTGTGAACAAGAGACTTGAAAAAGTTAATTCAGTGGCTATAATTGAAGATACTGGCGGTTTCAGTGGTATTATCGTTGCTGCTCACGAAGTTGGACATTTGTAAGTAAATTTTCATTTAATAATATAAGCATACTAAACAGTTTTTCTTAATAAGTAAAATAATGGTAGTAAAAAATCATATAGATAATTTAAAAATAATTTATTAAATTCAAATTTTTTAATAAATTACATTTACGCATAATAATAACTAAAAAATAAAAACTTTTAAATTCATATATGTGAAAGTTTTTATGTCTATACACCTTTAGATAATAAAATTATTTGCTATTTATGATTAAAATTATGTATGTATATAAATATCAATGCTATTATGGCGTTGAATTTGCAAAATATATTTATTTTATATTTGATTTTAAATTTGATTTCAAATAAATGCTCTTAATAATAGTATTAATGTCATTTCTTATTACTGATATTTAGTTTTACTTTTTTCGAAAATATTTTTTATATTATATAATATATTATACTTTTATTTAAAGAATTTTTAGTTTGAAAATAAAATAATTCTTCGAATGCTTCCAAAGAATTATTTAATGAATTTCTGCATAATATTATAGTTTATTCAAAATTTAGTAGTTATAGTTTATGTATTTTTTTTAATTTCTTAATATTGAATAATGTTTAAATAAAACATGATTAAAAAAAGAATTATTATTAATTTTAAATATTCTTTAATTATAATGATTTATTGTTTGTTATTTGTATTTCAATATGCGGAAAGTTCTTCCATTATAATTATTATAATATTTAAACTGTGGTAGAAGAAGTGATATTAGAAGTAAATTTTGAAAATATTTTAAATTCTAGGCTGGGTGCAGTACATGATGGCTCACCACCACCGAGTTACCTTGGTGGACCAGGAGCTGAAAAATGTCGTTGGGAAGATGGATATATTATGAGCGATCTCAGGCATACCGAAAAAGGTTTCAAATGGTCTCACTGCAGTGTTTCATCCTTTCATCATTTTTTAAAGTAAAAAAATGAATGTTTTTTTTGAAAAGTTGATAAGAAGTTATTTAACAATTGAAAAAATAATGTACAGTACAATATAATACTAAAAAAAATTCTGAAACTAATTCTGAATAATAATAATCTCTAATTCTGAAACTCCAGTTTATTATTGAAAATGTAATTATTCATATTATTCTTTAATAACATTAAACGTTAGGTTTATATTTATGTTCTTTAAAGTGAATTTTCTTTAAATAAATGGTATAAAATTTGACAGTTTGGTTTTAGAATTTTTCATAATGATTTTCATTTTTAGTCAATGTTTTTTCAGATTAAAATATACTAAAATAAAGAAATTATATAATATGTCATAAAAATTTAGTGGAGATACCGCGACCTGTCTTTACAATGCTCCTCACGAGGATGAAGCGCTTTCAAGAGTATTGCCAGGAAAATTATTGTCACTTGATGCTCAATGTCGAAAAGATCGTGGAACGAGCGCGTGCTTCGTAAGAATTGTTGATCTTAATTTTTTGCTTAATCGATATATTATTTTATGTTATTTATTCCTACGTATATATTTTCTTAATAGAAAGATGATCGAGTTTGTGCTCAGCTATTTTGCTTCGATGCTAGTTCTGGTTATTGTGTGGCTTACAGACCAGCAGCTGAAGGTTCTCCCTGTGGAGATGGTCAAGTACGATAATTAATTTTATATTATTTATTTATTTGATAATGAAATTATTAAACAATAGTCAACTGTAATTAAAGAAAATATAATTGTGGTAGACTTTTTGTTGAATAATGCAGTAAGAATTTTTTACTTATTAGAAGAAATATTATTACCTTCTAATAATAGGTAAAACAGATTTATTTCTTTTATAAATTTACAAAAAAACACAATGAATAATTACAACTATTTGAGTAGAGATGGATAAATTAGAGCTTTGACCTACTTGTTGCTTGTATATATTAAACAGTTTGATTGTGAATTAATAATAAAAATATTCTTATAATATATTTATTCGGCATATTTTATTGTTTCCAGTACTGCTTAAATGGCAAATGTGTAGCTGAACACGAGAATATTATTCCCGATTATACACAGAACGTGCCGACGTATGTACGACGAGAAAATTTTTATAACGCTGCTACGCAAAGTCGGCCTTTCTATACGCGATACAATACCAGTACAACAGAATACAGGTAAAACAAAATATACGAATGATGAAATTTATCTGAAATTATGATTTAAATATAAAAGTAATAAAAATATGACATTTAATAGAATTATTACATGTAATTTAAGTTGTTTATAATGTTATTTTTATGCTTCAAAATTGAAAAAAATTGTATTAAAATCCTAATTCTAAAAATCAAAATAAGTTAATACCGATTTAATGGAAATTTCTTTCAGTTCCTCTAATAGATCTTTATAACATCTAATGATTTGGAATTTTTATTTGAATTATGCATTGTAAGACGTAAAAAATTATGAAAAGATTTATATAACAAATGTTTATTGAAATTAATGAGAATATGAAAGTTAGGAACCTGATTTATCGACTATTTGACATCCTTATTTTGCTTTTATAGAAATAATTTTATAAATTTTTTATATTTGATTTTATATTTCATATATTAAAACTTAGTAAAAATGTTGTAGAACAATTAGAAAAATATTATTTCTATAATTTAAATTTTTAAAAATTTGAATTTAAATTAGAAAAATACTATATATATTAAAAACAAAGCATTTAGATGAATGTGATGGACACATATATATTTATGGGTATATATATATATATATAATATATATATGTATTTTGATCATTTTTTAAAATTTTCATTAAAAAGAAATATACGTTAAAATAAAAGTGACTTTACTGTACACGAACCTATTATTACACGTAACCTATGATTTTGTCGTTAAAACAGTACTTTCATATTCTTTCATAAATTGACATCTAATGCTAATACAGGAAACGACATAATTCCCACGATTAACTCCTCTCTATTCCTTATAATCCAAACAAAAATTAAGAAAGCTAAACACAATAGAATAATACAAATATACTATACAGGTATCCATGGGATGGTACTACACGCAGCATTTATCAATCAATGTATAAATATACAACACCGTACTCGAATTCAATCGCGTCAACAATCGCGACAAGGTCTCCGAACCTGTCTACGTCGTACTATCCGACGACGCCGACATCATATCCGCGCTACACCCACTCGACTGTCAGTAACTTCATTACTGATAATTATTATCGGATATATAGTTATGGTTACAATAACGACTTTATTAATAATAGTAATTATTATAATATTAATGCGTATACTACTGCCACGACTAGGAGGACGAACATTTACGATTATTCACACGCGTATGATATCAAAGATAATGAGAGCCCGAACGAGGTTAGCTATCCAAAAGTCACTCCGTTCAGATATAAGAGTACCGCCAGATCAACATCGATCGCGATGACTAGCAACAATGGCGTCCAATACGCTCCACAAATTTACGGTCATGGTAAGGATGGAGCCCATCGACAAAACTTTATAAGCAGACTATGTCAAAGCTATTCTTTTCTTTAAAATTTTTTCGGTACTCCAATTGTTTATTGATTTATTATTTCTATATCTTTGCAACATTGTCGAATTTGTGCCTCAATTACTTTGTTATCATTTCAAAATTCTCTCATCTTTTAGTTGAATCGTTCCAGAATCTTTCAGCTAAGGCAATGTTTTTCACATTCTAGGTTTTCCTTATGTCTAACGGCTACAATACTACTGTTATTCCTACTAAATCCTATGTGTATTCTCTACACTTGTTCATTTAAACTTATGCATTCTCTTACAGAAGTATTATTTATTCAAGTATGCTGATACATCATATTTTACAAAATGATCTATAATTTTGGAATTTTCCACCAAAAATATGCTTATTTTTATTATATACTATTAAGTATTATTATTATTATTATTAAATTTATAATATATTAAGGTTTTTTTATACAAATCTATATTTTAACACTTTTAGCTAAATTATTCTGTATCTGCTATATTATTTATAATATGTTTATCTTATAAAATTTTACTTATCTAATTCTTAACTAATTCATATGACATGTATTAAATTTTTTAGATTTGTATATAATCTCGATATTTATCCAGAATTCTTATTTTTAATAACATCTTTTGATTTTATTGTAATTTAAATGTGTACATTACATTCATAATTATCATTTTTTAATGTCTACCAAACTATTCTTTCTCTAATAATAAACAGTTTATCTCAATAGGTATTAACTAATATAATCTGAACCGTTAAGCATTTGTTAAACTCTATTTATTTAACGTTAATATCTTTTTTTTCTAAAAGTATGCTATTTTAATTAATTCATTAATGATAGAAAATATATGATTAATTTAGTACAAAGAAATTATAGAAAGAAATATAAGAATATTGTTAAGAAGGAATTATTAACATTAGAAAAACTATTAATTTTTTTCTAATATTATGTAAATATAAAAAAAATCATTCTAAATTCAAAATAAATTAAATGCAATTATTGAAATGTTGGTTATTATTTCAAGTTTCATATAAATAAGTTTGGTTCTAAATAAAGTGTTTACAACGGGGTATATAAGAGATTGCATAAATCTTACATATAAAAAACACTGCAAGCCATACATTTAGCTACTATTTAATTTTTAATTACTATTTAATTACTATTTCTAAAATATCTAACAAATATTTATTTATATAAATACTATTTCTATAATATGTAACAAATATCTATAAGTCTATCTATAAATTTTATTACTTTTCATTTAATAGATAATAACGTTTTAATTTTAGAGTAAAATAAAATCCTTTAAAAATAAAATCTTATAAAAATAAAAAATTAAAATAAAATATTTTTTTCTTTTATTATTTAATTTTATTTCATAGTAATATATTATTACAAAATTTTTTCTGGAATACAATATTACCTAAAATAAAAAAAATGTGCAAAATCAAGCAAGAGTGAAAATGATTTTTTCAATATCATATTATATAACATTATTATCGAATATTATTTAACATTTCAATATAATAATGAAATATAAAATATATAGTTAAAAATTATTGAATGAAATAATTGTATTTTTATATATTAATAAATAAGGTTTAGTGAAAATAATAACCATATGAATAATTTAATTTGAATACGAATTAATTATTGATATGGCGAAAAATTGTTCTTCTAACACTAGTTATATCTGAACATTGCTATTTTATTGTTGTAATAATATCTTTTTAATAATTACAATATTAATGGATATTTTCATATATTTTATTTGGTGAATGCAGAAACAGAGGTAGATGAATGTCAGGACGTGGGGACAGATTGTGCGGAGCTGATCGACAGGCTGAGGACATGGCTGTGCCATCTGCAATCAGTGAGAAGACGTTGTTGTGCATCCCTCAAGACAATTTGCTGAAAACTAGCTGTAAACAGAGAAAAGAAAAATGAAAATGCGAGTACCAATATTAAAAGAATGTGAAAAGCGAGGGTATCAAAGTGAAATGCCGAAGTGCTCTCCTGATGAAAAAGCACAATGACTGTTAACGCAATGCAATCGATTCGTTTCGTAGAAAAGTGTGTAGCAGATTATTTTTTATTTTTTGTTTTTGTTTTTCAAGTGAAAGATGAAGAGTAGTGAATGAATGTAAAAAAGAATAATATAAGAAAACTGAGTCAGAAAAAGAAGGAAGGAAGGAAGGAAGGATGAGCACGGCTGGTTACAGAAGTTAGAAGATATACGGAAATTTTCCTTTTTTATCCTTACCCCTTTTCTCTTTCTATTCTTTGCCTTCCACGTATATCTTTATTCTTGCTCTTTCTCTATTGATTGGTGTTAATAAAATGCGTCAATCCGTGATATTTGTAGGAAATAGATCTTCAGCCAGGCAAAAAGGTACCGATCGATAAATGGATAAACAGATACATAGGTAGATAGATAAATAGATACGTAGATAGATAGACAGATAGACAGATATATATATATGATATATAGAGAGGGAGAGAGGCAGAGAAAAAGAGAGAAATATATTGTTTTTCTGCGTTTTGGATGAACTCGCGACAGCTTAACGCTTCTTTTTTCGCATGGAGGAATCGCCTGGACTATCCCTTTATTTCCAATCTTCTCCGCTCCTTTCTATACTTTTCCTTCTATTTTTTTTTACGTCTGAGTCTGTATTTATGTGCGATATCGTTGAAACTAAGCTCAAAGCACAAGAGCATATTTCCAATTTATTTTATTTTATTTTTTTACTATAAAGTACGTTTTTGCGTCGAATAAATGAACGATAATGTCTCGACATAACCCCGACAGTTTAATATGTATGTTTTAATTAGAACATTATAAATTACCGGCGCAGCCCTTGTGAAAGAAATAATTGTAGCATAAAAATAAACCGTAGTGTCTAATTGTATAATACTTATTGTATTAATTCTTTCATTGCCAAATGAATATTTTAATTTATCTTCTTATAATTTCCAATTAAATGTATAAAACTTTGTAATAATGATTCATAATAAATTTGCAATACAACATTATCAAATTAAGATTTGTAAGAGAAAATTGCAGTGTACAATTGTTATCTAGTAAAAAAGACTTATTCTTAATTATTATAACATAATTAGTGTTAAATTTGTAAAGTAAAATATAAATCTACATTTATCAATTAATTAATTTTCTTCATACAACCACAAATACGAGAAATATAAACTTTTCACGTAAAACGATAACAATCTTTTTTAACAAATGTTATAATAATCCTAAATTATATTCTTCAAAGCTCCTTTCCCTCACGATATAATAATGTAATAATCTAAATAATCAATATTATCTATAGCGTTTCAGATATTTCAAAATATTATTTTATATTCCTAAAATCGAGATTACAAAAGATGGACTTCAATAAATTATACAATATAAACTTCTATATAAATTATATAACCTATTTCGCCAAGTATTAATATATTGAATGTGAAATATTTTGTATACATTTGTTTTGAAGTTATTATATTTCATTTAATATTAGAACACAGTTTCAGATGTACTAGGTTTAAATTTAAATAATATTTTAAATGTATGTATTTTTTTACTTTATTTACTTTAAAACTGTGGTAAATAAAAAAATTACTTATAAAAAAAATCAATGAAAATAATTGTTGTACTTGTGCACTTATTAGTTTTATTACGAAATATACACATGCAAGTATCTTGCGATATTTTACGAATAAATAAATCAGTTCAGTTGTAAGCAGACATACAATTTTTCAAATATGAGACAAACATCATGTATATATTTAAAATTATCAGTATATTAAAATTCGTACTGCTTACCCCTCTATTTATTTAACGTTACGTATCATTTATCCACGTATTGTGTCAGTATGAACTTCGTATTACATAAAAAACTGCTATTGATACCATGATATTCAAATCAAAGTTCAATTATGTAATAGAAGTGTTATGCCAAAATAGCATATCGTCCTATAGTATTAAAATAATATACTAAAGTATATTTTACTTATATAAAAAATAGCAATAGATTAATAATAATGTAAATTTGTATTTATATTTTTTCCTTCTCTTACCATTTAATAAAACAAAATAAATTAAAATAAAAATTATAAAAAAATAAAATAAAAATGATAGCGTAGGTTATTCTTCTGTTTTATTACATAATTACAAAGTTTTCAAATATAATGCACATTTAATAGCTTTAATATTGTTTTCTTTCCGAGTACAAAAGTTATATATGTAAATATCTAAAATAAAAAATTATACTCAGAATAACTATAAAGATGGAATTATAACAAACATTATTTTTCTTTTGAACATACCAATTCAAATATATTGTTAAATAGAAAGTGCTTATTAAGGATTAGAGTAATTTAATAATTATATAATTTTTCACTGAGTTTCTACAGTATATAAGAATTTTTAAATTAAAATTTTAAAAAATTTTAGAAATTAATTTAGCTAAAATATGACAGAAATCATTTAGAATATATTATATATGTATGTATAATAAAAAATATAAAATATAAACTGCATAATGATAACAGCTAAATGCTGAAAGGTGTGTAATGAATAATATATTCGTCCGAAAATATGTCAATAAATTTCAGTTGTGTTTAATTTTTTGTTTTCAAATTTTTTGTTTAGACAATGTAATAAAATATTTCCGATTCCTCTTTAAAATATAAAAATATTTTTCCGTAACTAAGGATTTATAACTTTTATTTAACTAATTTTAAACTTATATAATACAACTTGACTAAAACTTACATTATAATATTATAATTATACCAAAATAGACAAAAATTTGTTAAAAAATTCGCATTTTAAATAGCATAAACATTTTTATTTGTATAATAATCTTAGGTGCTTCAAAACTAATAATTATCCAAAAAATGTTGGCAGCATATAAAAATAATTATATTAAGCTAACTTTTATAGAAATATTTGTCTTTATTATTTTAAAAAATGTTATATTTCTATACAACTTATCATTATATATTTTAATTATAAAGATACTTCTTGAAGATATTATTTAAATATACAATGATTAAGCAAGGATCGATGAATGTAATATGTCCATTGAACAAGGAATATTTTCACACACTACCATAGACTGATGGATATTTTGTACATTGTATTTTTTTATGTATTTCATTACGTACTTCTGACCATTTCACGATTAGTAATGCGAAGATCAATAAATGTGAGACTATTATATAAATGACTATGTTAAAATAGTTCAATTACCAATGATTATCATTTTAAAATATGGTATAGAATTTTGAATAGTTATTAATATTTAAAGTTTCATATTAATATCTGTTCGGGATTGATGCAGTCCCATGAATTTCAAACAAAAGAAAGGTCATACGCGCTGTCCGGCGTACCGCATGTGCGGACCGGGACGGGTACTCGATCGAATATTTACAAACAAAACTCGGCAAGTCCGAGCAAGTTTACGACCCGAAATATAATATACTGTAAGATCACCCAAGCGTATTACTCCTACTTTTCTCTCGTCGAACATTCTCGAAGGTTCTAGAATTTTCCTTACACGCCTCGTGTAAGAATTAGTGAAACAACGACGATGCTTTGTTGCCAGCTAAGTGAGCCGCCGCGTGGCTATATAAGGGACGCACGCGGCGCGCTTCGACCTCTTGCTAATCATCTCTTGCCGAACCACCCTCGCTCAACTGCGCTTGCAGCTCACATCTTGCCGTGACTCGACAGTAGTGACACCGACCATAGTGAACCGATCTAACCATCTACCAGTAGAAGCCATGGCACACGGGTCTCGATCTGCCATCAGCAGGACCGCCATGGAACGGTCGGTATTTTCAGCAGAGCCGCCACGGAACAATCAAGCCTTCAGTTCGTGCGCGTATTCAAAAGGCTCATTGTAATATCACTTCGCGCTCACTTAACTATAATTGCCGCTCAGTGTATAGTGTACTGTGAAGACGATGCGTGGCCATATAATCGGCATCATAGTTAAAATTACGCGCGTGCATACGAATAAGAAATCAGCAGATTAATAGTAAAGACTACACGCGTGCATAAAAAAAGGAAATCGGCAATTTTAAATAGTGATTACAGTGAAGCCAATGGAATAGTAATCAAGGGGGACATTAACTACACAGCATCTAATACACCTAGCCTGCAGTTCACCAGGTACACCTTCATATTAATAAATAAACAAGTCACATCTCGCACTATAGTCGATCGGGCACACTTACGCTCTCTCGAACTGATCCCTCGACATCGTACAGGCCCGCTAGCACAAAACTGGGCAAACTTACGCTCTCTCGAACTGATCCCTCGACATCGTACAGGCCCGCTAGCACAAACTGGGCACGCTTACGCTCTCACGAACTAACCCTCGACATCGTACAGGCCCTGAACAGCTGACGCAAGAGTCACTGTGATTCACACACATTGTCAAAGAAGGACAACACAGATCGACTAATAGACTATATAAATACAGATTATTAAATCATTCACGAATTAGAAATCTTACCATTCATTGCTTTTACCTGTGACTAGATTCTTCTACTGTCCCCTTACATAATTAAAGACACAATTGATTACTTAATAAATTCCATTAAACATCTCACACCATATCAAGTATAATTATTCATACATCAAACATACTTGATTCAACTACCATCTTCTCATGCTACCTCAAAAGCATGATTGACTGACGACATCAGCTGATATTTTCATCAGCATTACTTCAACTTCAAGATACTTAGTCATATCCATAGCATCTACAATAATTCAAGAATACAAGAATACAGTCTCACTACTTCAAAAGAATTATTTCTCTCTACATCAAAGTGCAATATTGTTATAATTATTTGCATTAATAAACATTGTTTTACTAAATACACGATATTTTTCAGCCTTATCTGTTATTGTTTCCTTTGAAGTTATCCTGCCGAGAGACTAATCCACTGAACTATTGAATTGGTAATTCGAGCCATAAACTAAACCTTTAAAAATCGAACAATATCCAATTGAATTTTGAAAACTATTATTTAAACATGTAATGGTAGTCTATTCTTTTTTTCACAATTCACATTTAAATAAATGAAAATCAATATTTTATTATTTGTATTTTGTTTAGAATTAACTACAAAAGCACTAAATGTTATGTAGGAAAATCCGTGGCAAGTAGAAGGGTTCATGCATTGATTCAATAGTTAACACATATGTTTCTTATTGCTGTTTATTCCATTTCTTTTCCAAATACAGGGATGATTATTCTTGATGAAGTTATAATTGAACCTTTGTTGCTCTTTGGCGATTGGCACGTAGAGTTAGTGTGCACTTCGTTTGGAGGTAGGAGGTTGCAAGGTTCCTGACCCTCGTGACGTCCTTGATGGGAGGTTACCCTGAGAAAGGGGAGAGGTTGTAAAG